CAGCTAAATTTTTTTCCCAATTTGTGGGTTTTCTTTTTACTCTGCTGGTGATTTCTTTAGATATGTAGCAACTTATCAGTAGTATGATATCACAGTTGATTCTTTGAATTATTTCACGGGCAGTTGGTTTTTGTTCATGAGACAAGTTCTTACTTTAAATCATTGGTTTTTGTCTTAGTTCTTTTTAGGCTGCTACAATTAGAGACCAATAAACTGAGTAACTTAGAAACATCAGAAATATATTTCACACAGTTCTAGAGGCTAGAAAGCACAAGAGTAAAGTGCCCAGAGAGTTGATGCATTTTTTTTAATGTTGACTTCTAGCTGGGTCTTACATGGCTGAAGGAGAAAGGTAGCTCTTTGGGGTCTCTTCAAAGGGTATTTATTCTGTTCACTAGGGCTCTGCATTTATTGTTTGATTTGGCTTTTAACTTACGAATTTTAGGGGGACACAAACATTCAAACCATGGTAGTTATCAAAATATTAAAAATGTTTTCCCAACATGCCACATACACATAGGGAAAAAGTATCTTATATAATTTTCTTTTTAATGTAAATATGACTTTAATTCTTGTTCATATATATATATTATATATATCTTCTTTCTCAGCTGGCTTATGGAATATGGTAGAGGCAAAATATTCTGAGTTTTAGTTCCAGTTCAAAGTAGGAATTTACCTCTTTGTATAACTTAGGTATTCTGAATCTCTTTTTTTGTTGTTGTTGCTATTTCTATTCTGGAGAGATAAGGGTTAGTTTTACTTGGCTCATGGCTTTGAGATGATCAGGAGAGATCTATTTATGAAACTACTTTGTAAATAGTAAAGTGTACATACAAATAGTAGTGCTTATTAGTTTTCAATATCTATATCTGTATCAACTTCTCAATGAAATTTTGTACTCATTTAGAATTTTTTTTTATGCTCAGATTTAGGACATTTATGTGTTTTCGTTACTAGCTTTAGGCATGTAAATATCTACCTTTCTTAACAGTTTTTGAAATTTCTAAAGATCAAGAAATGTACTTTTTACTACTATAATGTCCTACAGCATGAACAGTATTAAAATAAATGGAAAAATTTAATGTGTATACAAACTTGTCAGGCTTTATTTTTTTAGGTAAAATTTTTTTACGAGATAGACCAAGGGGTACATGATAGTCACAGTATTTTATTTTGTATTTAGTCTTCATTTTTTCATGATTTTTGGATGTTGAAGCAAAATACTAATTACTAATAAGTTTCCCCATGTATGTATTTTAAGACTTTTTATATAATCTATTTTTCCTAGAGTTTTTTTCACAATGATTAACATATATATAAATAGCCAAAGTACTTAAGCTCTTACAAAACTACAGTTTAGCAGGATAGTTAATTCTGTGTCACTTAGTGTAGAATTTTAGCTTCTTTTACCATCTGTCATTTATTCAGCCGATGTATTATTGCATTTTTAATGTATTCATCTATACCACCTTACTATTATTTAGAAATTAATTTCCAAAGATTTATTTTGTCCTTTGTACTGAATGTAATTTTTCTTTCTTTGAAAATGAAAATAAAAATATGGTAGATGATGGTTTTGGATTTAGATGTGTAGCAACTTTTCAGTAGGATCAGATCCCAACTGATTCTTTGAATTATTTCATGGGCAGTTTGGTTTTTGTTCATGAGACAAGTTCTTAGAAATGAAAATAAAAATATTGTAGATGATGGTTTTGGATTTTAAAAGTGTAAATTAAACTTTTTGTGTAGGTCATTGAGCTGGAAAATCGGCTAAAATCTTTTGAGAAAACATCAAAAAAATTAAAAGAAGGAAATAAACAATTAGTGAAAGAAAATGATTTTCTGAAAGCCTGTTTGAAACAACATCAAGAAGATGCAGAGAATAGAAAAAAAGACCTAGAACAGCGGCTGAAGAGGGGTAAAGATGTAGAAAAAGACAAAACTAAACTTGAAGTAAAAATCAGTGAGCTGGAGAGAGAAGTCACTTCCCTAAGGAGACAAGTGGCCGAAGCCCGTGCATGGAGAAATGAGAGTGAAGAACTGATGAATCCAGCGGAGAAATCTGAGCATTCTGCAGACAAAGCTGAATCTGACATGGCCACCGCAGAAGCGAGGTCTGCAAAATACGACTGTAAGACAACCACTACCAAGGTTAAATTCAGAGCCGCCAAGAAAAAGTGCTCTTTGGCTCCTCCCCACACTGTGCTCAATCACTCCGTCAAGGTTATGAGCAGTGTGTTTGAGAACCTCAGCAAGGACGGCTGGGAGGATGTGAGTGAAAGCAGGTACTGCTCTCGTTAGCTTAGCTCTGTGGTGGGGACACTGTGCATATGCAAAGCACTGGCAAATGGAGATTGAATTTCAACTACTGTTGATTTGGTATTCAGAAAAAATACTGTCAGATCCTTTGAAATACCTTGGGAGGTCTTGTTCTGAGCTTATTGACTGAAATTTGCATGCAAAATTAGCCACAACTGCATGAGTATTTGAATAGGTGCCAGGAAACCCAAAAGAAGGCAATGCTTGATTTCTTCCAGTGATGCTATTTTCATGCAGTCATGAGGCTTGAAATTGACAGTTTGGCAGGTTGATTTAATTTGCTGGCCCTTTGCATATTCACCATTGACAGCTAAGGATTCCCAGGCAAGCCTACCAAGTCGGTTTAGTTATCTTGTGACATGCCAACCTGGGAGGAGAAACATTTTTCCCCCTTAATTTAGTTAGATAAATTTTGAATGACCCATTTCAGCTTGTTACCAGATGTCTACAAGCTGTTTAACATCCTTTAAATTAAGAACCATCTTCACTAATTATTTCATGTATGTATTATGCAAAGTCATTGTACTAACTTTAATTGAATGGTGGTTAAAAATTACTTCTTTAAAGTTATAGCGATTTCTAGTCTTAAAAGTTAATCCCTAGTGAGTAGCAACAGGAGAATACTAAAAATCTATATTTCCTTCTCTTACCCATGGCTGTACATTTATATACGCACTTGAAATACAAAGGCAAATGAATGTTAGAACACCTCTTTCTTTATACCTAGGCAATAGAGAGGTTCATTGTTGCCAGAATTATGTGCAAAATACTGTTTATCATAATTTTTTAAGTTCCTCCATATTTTCTAATGATATATATATTTTCTATTTTCCCTAGTTTTTGTTTTGTTTGTAAATCCTCAATAGTGACTCTATTTTAGATTTGGGAAGATTATAGTTTTCTCAGTCACGGATATAAAACTAACAATTATTTTAGAAACAGTTCTCAAATTTGCACAGGGATAGAAAGGTATGTACTTTACCTATTATAAGGGTTATGGCTAACATCTCTATAACAAGAGATAGATTATAAAAGAGAAAAGCATCAGAGATTTATTTAACCAAAGTTTTATAGAACAGGAGAGACTTCACATTGATGACCCAGAGACTCAGGGAAAGCTTTCTAAATTGATGCTTTAGATTTGAGGAAGAAGGTACAGTTGCATAGAAATGTGATTAGACAAAAAGGATGTCATCTAATGTAATAGAGAGGTGAGAAGTTAGCAAGGTCTGTCTGTTTGGATTCTTCATGGTCTCTATACATGGCATTCCTTACTCCTGTGTGTGAGGGTAGGACCTCTTCTGGAAGGAGGATCATCTTGTGATCTTCTGATGCAGAGGGTAGAAGCCCAGCTCATGCACAGAAAGGAGAGGGAAGGTTAGAGCAATAGGAGGTGTGATCAAAATATACAGTGAATTTTAAAATTTTTTTTTTCTTCATTTTCTTTTGCTTTCTTTCTTTTTTTTTTTTTGAGGCAGGGTCTCGCAGTGTAGCTCTGACTGGCCTTAAACTCACTATGTATCAACAGGCTGGCCTGGAACTCATGGTGATCAGTCTGCATCAGGCTCCCAAGTGCTAGGGTTACAGGCATGTGCCACCATACCTGGCTTAGTGAATGCTTAAGTTAAAAATAAATTATTGGGGCTGGGTATATAGCTCAGCAGTGCAGTGCCTGCATGGGAAGCACAAGGTTCTGAGTTCGATTCGTGGTACCAAAAAGAAAAGTTTGCAGAAAAGAAATTATTACAGTGTATGACATGTTGACATTAACCCTCCTCAGAATACTGCTGTCTTTGAACATACGTATTCCATAGTTTTTGCTGCTTCCTGAGGCAGTACTGGAAGTCTTCTTTACGTGTTTATAAGGTATGATCAAAACTACAGTGAATGCTGCTACCAGGTGCCATTCAAAGGAAACACACTCGTGTTTTTTTTTTTTTTTTTTGGTACTGGGAATCAAACTCAGGACCTTGCACTTGCCAGGTGGGCACTTGTGCCACTGAGCTATATCCCTGGCCCGATGAAACACACTCTTGTTAAAACAGTATGGTATGTCTTGGTCCACTTTCTACAGCACAGCCAGAAACTGTGCATCTTCCTTCCCCAGAGTCAAGGTGAGCATGAAAGGGAAATGGTTCTGAGTTCATTCAGGACATCAAGACAGCCACGACAGTGTAACTAAAGACATTCACGAAAGAGGACTTCAGAACTTCTTCATAAAGTGGGAAGGATGTCGGCCTAAGTGTGTTGGAATGGAAGTGAGGGAAGTATTTTGAGGGCGATTCATGGCAATGTATCTTTTATTGTACTTTTTTAAAAAATTTGAACATTCAGATTTTTGAATGAAGTTTTGCTTTTGATCATGCTATGTATATTTAAGCTTTATGACTTGCTTTATAGGAAAGGGTCTCTAACTTCTGTCACCTACCTTGGGAAGAGAAAGTCCAGCTTCTCTGACTCTCTTTTGGGAGAATGAAGGGTGAGAGACAGCAAGTACAAGGTTAGAGAGAACTTGGCTTTGAAGCTGCTTCTGTGTCTGTTATCTTATGTATCTATCTATCTATCAACCGATCTATCTATCTATCTATCTATCTATCTATCTATCTTTTTGAGACAGGGTCTCGCTTTGCAGTTCAGGCTGGCCTTGAGCTCACTTTGTAGCCCAGGCTGGTCTTGAACTTTCAATGATCCTCCTGCCTCAACCTTCTGAGTGCTGCAATTACAGGAGTGCGCCACCACGCCTGGCCTTCTGTGTCCTTTAGCTGAAAGTCCTCAGCATGCCAAAATGCCATGCTTTAGGGTATTGTTTCCTAAAGCCTAATACTTGCCTGCATATTACAGTTACCTGGGGGTCTTACAAAAAATTCTAAAGCTCAGGCTACACTTCAGATCAATTATATTATAATTTGGGGGGTGGATATGGGCTTCAGTACTTTTTAAAGCTTCCCAGCTGATACCACATAAATTTGAGAACCATTGTTTTAAAGATCAAGAAACTCAAAATCTTAAAAAACTCAAACTCCAAATTTATAAAGGTAAGGCCAGAGAATCATATCTGTAGTCTCATTTCTTTATTAACTCTTCCCAGATTCTTTTTCCCTAGGCTCAAAAGCATTTGGAGTTAAAATCCTACTTAAAACTCACTAAGCATTTATCTGTATCTTCAAGGAAATTATAATTTGAGCTACAGATTTTATCTCAGTCATATCAAACCATTATTCATAAACAGTGGTGAAGTTTATGTGCGAGTGTGTGTCTTATCAATAAATATGTGAAAAAATGAGTACATGAAGGGTAAGAGACTTGGTTCTAACACAGGATTGTTATTTAAGTTACTTAGCAAAGACACTCAATTTTACACTGTAAGGAGTAAATGTTACATTTTCTGCTTGACAGAATACTCTTAGGAATTATTCAGCTGCAAAGAATTCTCAAACAGTTAGAAATCCTGCAGTGAAATTTTAGGAACTTCAGATTTTCTTTTGGCTTTTCATACTCTAAAATTTAAGAAATTTATTTAGATACTGGGAAAATGAAACTTAATCACATATGTATAGTCACATATATATATATGACTACATTATATAATTATCCCTTTATTAATAGTTATTTCACAGAATTTACATGAACTTCCTCATTCAGTAAAGGACAGTAACCTTCAAGAAGAAAAATAGAATTTCAGTATCTCTAGCAAATTAAAGTGAAAGAAGCTAAAGACTGTAGGTAAAAGCACATAAATAAAACTTTCTTAAGTAGATTATAAAGTGTGGCAGAGTACCCCACTCCAAAATGTATCGCTTTGGCATAGGATTATTTTGAGCTGAGGGAACAGAGAAAGAGCAGATATAAGACGAGCCCTTGGACCTCCCTTGTCCTTAAGTGTGATGTAAATTCACAGAGGTCTCCCACCTCCCCTTTGTACTAGTACAGACAAAAGCTAATCATTGCAGATAACTTTGACCCTAACCGACCCGAGTTAGCCTGAGGGTGACTGCAGAGGAATACGCACATCAAACTTCGCCAGCTAGCCATTGTATATCACTAGATTCCCACAATATCTGCCACGTTTTGCTGCGTCTTGGGATTCAATGCCCCCACCCTACCACGTGCCCTTTGTCTTGTTTTCCGCTAAAATTTTATTGTTTTTTGTTGAAGGTAAATTGGAATTCTAAGTCACCTCTGAGTTACTTCTGGGTACTTTTGCTCCTGTGTTGGATGTGTTATATATATGTCAGTAAACTCGCTTGATTTTCCATTATTAATTTGTCTTTTCTTCAGAGGGCCCTGCTGAGAACTTCTGAGGGTAGAGGTAAAATCATTTTTTCCATTCATACAATTGTAATTTCTACTTCTGTCTTCTGTAGCTGAATTCTTTCTTTAACGGCCTTGTCACTTTTCTCAAACACGTCTTAACACTCAGGATTCTTATTTTTTATCCTAACTATGTTTCTGTCTTTCCCTATCAGTGCATTCTATTTTCATTCCAAATTATCTTAAAAGACACTAAGGAGCTTGGACTTGTCATTTTTTTGCTTCAGAAATAAATGATACCATTTGAATTCTTTCAAAGTTTTCAGTGTTGGTCCTAATCTTCTTTCCATTTTTCTTTCATTTCTACTTATAAAGCAGTGTATTTACTCACATTACTGTCTTTTATAAATAGGTGATTCTAGTTGAGTTTAGGTCATGCTTTTCAAAAATATAATTGAGGAATTTGAGAGACAGCAGGTGCTAAAACTCTCTGACTTCTTCTGAAGCAGGTTTTCAGACCCTCATATGCCTCATATATACCCTCAAACATACCCTCTCACTCTGCCTGGAGGAAGGGAGCCTCTCCTTATCTCCAGAGTCTGGGGAGTTCCAAGAAGTATCTGAATAAACGAGATGTTCCCCAGCTTATTATATTTAGCTCGTATTTGAGTTTACACTTCCTTATGAAGGCTCCTGGATTGTGTAAAAACCTTAC